TTTTGAAAAATTATTGACCTACCAAATTAGCAGTTTCCTGTCCGCCAACAATCTATTACATCTAAAACAATCTGGGTTCCGAAAAAAATACAGCACCACATCTGCTGCATTAGACTCTCTGAATCACATTTACAGTAGCCTTGATAATAAGCAGTACTGCGCCTGTCTTTTTCTTGACTTGTCCAAAGCTTTTGATACAGTAGACCACAACATCCTGCTTAGTAAAATAAGTTGCCTCGGTTTTTCCGAAAACACAGTAAAATGGTTAAAAAATTACCTCTTTTCTCGCACCCAAACTGTATTCACAGATGGTTGGAGGTCAAACAGTGTTAAGATAACAAAAGGGGTTCCACAGGGTTCCATTCTCGGCCCCCTCTTGTTCTCTCTTTATGTAAATGACTTGGGCACTGAACTGGATTATTCCAGGGTAAATCTTTTTGCAGATGACACGGTACTAATTACTGCTGGCCGCTCTCCGGATGACGTGATTGCTAAGCTCCAGAGTGATTTCAACAAACTACAACATCAGCTAGTTGCTCTTAAACTAGTCCTAAATCCTGCCAAAACCAAGGTGCTATGCTTCTCACCAGGACTAAAGCGGGAAGTTATTTTTCCCCAATTACATACCTTAAATAATGATCAAATAGAGCAAGTCAAGATCTATAAGTATCTTGGGGTCATCCTGGATTCAAAACTGAATTTTGAAGATCACATTGATTATATTGGGAAAAAGACAAAAATTAAAATTGGTTTTCTATATCGACACAAGCACTGCTTCCCTCCTATGTTCCGTTTGGAATTGATTAAAGCTACCGTACTGCCTCTACTTGATTACTGTGACATTGTGTATAAATCAGCCCCAAGTACTGTACTGAAGAAGCTTGACTCAATGTATCACTCGGCCTTAAGATTTGCATTGAACTGCCCATATAGGACTCACCACTGTGATCTCTACATTGGGTCAAACTTAACATCTCTGAATGTTCGACGGCGTGTGCACCAGATCTTATTTATTCATGATGTACTTGCAAAAAAATCTGCAGATTACCTGCTGGATCTCGTCTCTGTTTCAAAGAACAAATTTGATCTAAGGTCTACACTCATTTACCAGCTTAATATTCCCTATTGCCGTACATATACTGGAGGAAGGGCCTTTGCTATTGATGCCCCCAGGGTCTGGAATGCTGTTGCAAATAAATTGAAACTTGAGTCACTACCTATGAGATCTTCACTCAAAACTGCTTTAGAGGAGTTGTACACCCCTAGCTGCCAGTGCTATTCAGTGACCTAAAATAAAATGTTTCGCTCCGGATGATCGCTACAAAGTATGACCTGTGTTTTGATTTAGTGTGCTGATCTTAAAGGTGCATTGAAAAATTACAATACTCCGATTGATGCTCCTGCTGTTGTGGAGTGACTCATGCAGCCAGCTATGGCTGCAGGGTTTTGGTAGTACATGTTGTTTATGCCATTTATTGTGAAAATTCCGTCAGTTCCTATGATTGCTTTTTCATTGCCTTCATGGCTTTATTTTGGTGATTTCGAAAAGTGTATTGGTTTAGCCATGTTTGTGTTGTTGTAGTACAGAGTTAGACTGATGGCCTTAATCTAAGTTGTCTTGTGGTTGTTGTTGTTGTTTGACTTGCATCCCACTGGCATTTTTGCACACAGCGTTGGTGTACGGTGTTTTTTCTGCAATATTTTTGCTGTCTTTTCTTGGATTTTCTGTTTGCACTTAGTCACATATTCACTTTAAGATGTTTTTTTGTTCATGTTTTTGTTTTTTGTTTGTTGCGGTTGCACCCGATTCAAGAGCTGAATGGCTCACAGGGCTATACCTAATAAATGAACTTGAAATGAACTTGAACTTGATTTGGGGGACAGAGCTGTGTGACGTCATATTTGAGGGGGTTTGACTTTTTGTGACGCCGTGTGACGCGGGTGGGGGGGTCAAAAATCGTCCAAAATCGCGTGACCTCGTTTATGGACGGCCCCCATAACCAGTGGAGATGATTTTTTTAACCGGTCCTGAGCCGCCCCTACATCGACTCAGCCTCAAATGCGTACCCGGTGCGGTGTGCGAACATCGCCACCCGCTAACAGCACTTGCCCCAATAGTCTGTGAAGACTATACCGGGGGGGATCTTTGTCTTTGTATGTACAAACACACGTGTCCGATTACACAGATTAAAGGTCTCGACACACGTTGCCGTGAAAGTTCACAAATTCACGTGTCTGGTTTATTGTGTTTGGTTACAATTATTCAAAACTCGTAAATTACAGGGCGTTTCAGAAGGGTGGATCGCATCTGCTTTGAAATTGGGTGTTATGTCATTTCTGTACGATTCCAATCATTTTCGATTTAAAGTTTTCGTGACTGCAGGGATTCATCTTCTTGGTTCTTTCGGTAAAGTCACGTAAAAGGGAAATAATAAAACAATAAATAAAACATACTAAAATAAAATTCTCACGTGTCGGCCAAAACGCAAGCAGGTCTGTCACCTGAGGACGGCTGCTTGCGTTGTGGCCGAAACGTCGTGAGAATTATTTTAAAAAGTTTTATTTTTATTATTTCCCTTCTACGTGACTTTACCGAAAGAACCAAGAAGATGATTCCAATCATTTTTACACGCTTCTATTTAACTCACTTCGTCTGTTGTATCCTCAAAAACGAAATCTTCTAACTCAAATTTTACACACTTCCCAATGTGCTATCGACTGCAAACTTGGTATAGCGATGTCATATTGATGACAACACGATATTATATCATACAAAATCCATAACATAGATTTTTTTTTACATTTAACACGCTTTTATTTAAATTTACTGTATGTGTTGTATCCAAAAATCTTGTAACTCAATTTCAACCGTATTCCCAATGTATCGAATGCAAAATTCGTATAGGTGTGTCATACTGATGACAATACCATATTTTATCATTAAAAATAAATACATATTTTTTTACAATCTTTTTTACGGCTCTAATTGTCCACGCTCAACTGACGTTGCCTGTAAATCACCGCGGTCCCTTACGTCACGGCAAGCCTTGGGGAGCCACGCCCAGGGCCGGGGCATGTGGAAGAGGAGCGATGAGAGAAGGGGGCAGGGGCAGCTCGGACAGTACATTTCATTAAAGCGTGTTTTTAAAAAAAGTATTTTAAAATATTTTATTTTAACTGTCTGTTGTCGTTTTTGTCGTATTCTCAAATCTTGTAACTCAATTTTAACCAACTTCCCAATGTGGTATCGACTGCAAACTTGGTATACTTATGTCATACTGATGACAATACTATATTCTATCATTAAAAAAAATATATTTTTAAACATTCTTTTTTATATGTTATGTTTCGGTCTAATTGTCCCCACAGTCAACTGACGTTGGCTATAATTGGCCACTGTCCCTTACGTTATGGCAAGCTTCGGGGCCATTTCCTGGAGTCGTGGAGTTCTGCCATTACTAGTACATTTCATAAAAGCACGTATGAAAAAACAAGTGTTTTATTTATTTATTTATAGTCAAAATCGCCAAATTTGCAGAGCTTCGCTGCAAGTACAGGGAGAGACGAGAGGTGAGGCAGCGACGCGCTCAGCCTCCCCTCAGACACTGGATGGACCGCGGGCAGTAAGGGCTTGCCTGTTACTATCTCAGCATGTCACCAATGGAATGTTTGTAGACCCCTTCATTGCATGTCCTCGCCTTCCATAGTCCAGGTAACTGAGTTCAAGTACAGTAGAACCTCTGGTCACGACCATAATTTCGTTCCATAACTTTGGTCGCAACCCGATTTGGTCGTGACTCAAACCTAATTTCCCCATTGGATTGTATGTTAATACGATTAATCCATTCCAGACTCCTACGAACTGTATATAAAGTTTTTAAAATATTTTTAAAGACAAAAATAGTTAATTATGCCATAGAATTCATTGTAATAGTAAACTAAATGTAAAAACATTGCATAACACTGAGAAAACCTTGAAAAACAGAGAAAACTGACAAGGTTTAGAATTGTTCAACAAGATTACTGTTTCGTCTGCTACATCAGTCGGTCGATTCTGAGAGAGCATATTCGTATGAGGAATTTATGTTTCTATTGAAAGTTAACAGTAATATTTGGGTACAGTATTGTTTTTGGAAGCATTCACCGTAATATTGTATGAACGTTTACTTCACCGCATCATCGTATTAATGATGCGAGAAGAGATTAACGGGTTATGTTAGCGATTGACGTACTCAGCGCTTTCGCTCTCTAAACTATGGCTTGAATGAGGAAGGAGGGGTATGACTACACTTACAAAATGTATACATATCTTACTAGGAATTTTATATTACAAAAGATATATACATAACTGTTACGCTTTGTGTAATTCAACAACAAAAATGGCGCGGAAGGGGAAATCGGCCGCGGCCCTGTTTGATCTCCACCCGAGTATGTGTTCGTGACCAGATTAAATAAACTGTTGTAAATGTTTTGGTCGATACCCAATTTGGTCGTGGTCAGAAGCATTCGCGAACAGAGGTTCTACTGTATGTGCATAAAGATACGTAGGCTCGCTGGTCTCGTCATGAAACTGCAATGAAAAAGCACCAGGGGAGGCAGCTATCACATCTGCCTCACTGAGGGGGGTGGGCGTGTCAGACACACCGGTGAGGCCACGCCCCCAGTGCCTCCCCAGCCACTGACCTCACGCCATGTCACTGGCTCCCATCCATCGCGTTCAGTGTTAATTACCGAGGCTCACAGAGCAAGACTAAGGCTCCCATAGGCTTCAGTGTGAATCGCTGAGGCTCACAAGAGCCAGATGAATGCTCCCATAGGGTTCAGTGTGAAACACCGAAGCTCCTGGTGAGATATCTACCCAACCAACAGATCCCCCAAGATTGGCCGCTCTTACCCTGCAGGTTGAACCTAAGATTTCAATGTTCTACTTCACGTTATTTTCATTAAAGGCCTGTGACAAAGGTGCATCTATTGGAAGCGACATCGTCTCAAGCTTACACATCTACCGGGTCTCCATTTGACTTTATATTGTCTAGGAAGTCCACCCACACCTCCACTTCCACAAACTGCTGTGAGTTGCCCCGCTCTGCCTTACAGTCAGAATTCCCCTCTTGCTTCACGTTGCCTCCACCGATGTGAAGGTCCCATTCTGGAGTCGAATTTTCATCTTCACATTTTACCTTCACTTCTTCGCTCTTCAACGTCACCTCTTCACATTTCACAATCACCTCTTCAAATTCCGCCTTGACACCTTTTAAAGTGCCCAAACTGGGATTTTCTTCCGGTACTTGTTTCATGAGGGATGGGCTCCTTACGGCACTTTGACTTTCACAAGCTGATTTCAGACTCCACTCCTTGTGGATCTTCTGATGCTTCTGTGTTCTCTGGTGTTCTTGAAGATGTTGTGAACGTGCAAACGCCTTCCCGCACAAAGTGCACCTGAAGGGTTTCTCTCCTGTGTGTGTTCTCTGGTGTCTTGCAAGAACAGATGAGTATGAAAATGCCTTCCCACACACACTGCACTTGAAGGGTCTCTCTCCTGTGTGTGTTCTCTGGTGTTTTGCAAGATCACTTGACTCTGAAAATGCCTTCCCACACACACTGCACTTGAAGGGTTTCTCTCCTGTGTGTGTTCCCTGGTGTTTTGCAAGATCACTTGACTCTGAAAATGCCTTCCCACACACACTGCACTTGAAGGGTTTCTCTCCTGTGTGTGTTCTCTGGTGTCGTGCAAGATGTTGTAACTGTGAAAATGCCTTCCCACACACACTGCACTTGAAGGGTTTCTCTCCGGTGTGTGTTCTCTGGTGTTGTGCAATTTGTTGCAACTGTAAAAATGCCTTCCCACACACACTGCACTTGAAGGGTTTCTCTCCTGTGTGTGTTCTCCTGTGTGTTGCAAGATTTGAGGACTGTGAAAATGCCTTCCCACACACTCTGCACTTGAAGGGTTTCTCTCCTGTGTGTGTTCTCTGGTGTATTGCAAGATCAGATGACTGTGAAAATGCCTTGCCACACACACTGCACTTGAAGGGTTTCTCTCCTGTGTGTGTTCTCTGGTGTATTTGACAATTTGATGGACCTGCAAACGCCTTCCCACACACACTGCACTTGAAGGGTTTCACTCCTGTGTGTGTTCTCTGGTGTGCTGCAAGATGTGGTGACTGTAAAAATGCCTTCTCACACACACTGCACTTGAAGGGTTTCTCTCCTGTGTGAGTTCTCTGGTGTTTTGCAAGATCATATGACTGTGAAAATGCCTTCCCACACAGAGTGCACTTGAAGGGTTTCTCTCCTGTGTGTGTTCTCTGGTGTATTGTAAGATGTTGTGACCGTAAAAATGCCTTCCCACACACACTGCACTTGAAGGGTTTCTCTCCTGTGTGTGTTCTCTGGTGTCGTGCAAGATATTGTGACTGTGAAAATGCCTTCCCACACACACTGCACTTGAAGGATTTCTCTTCTGTGTGTGTTCTCTTGTGTTTTGCAAGATTAGATGACTGTGAAAATGCCTTCCCACACACAATGCACTTGAAGGGTTTCTCTCCCGTGTGTTTTCTCTGGTGTCTTTGAAGAGTTGATGAATCTGCAAACGCCATATCACACCGAGTGCACTTGAAGGGTTTTTCTCCCGTGTGTTTTTTCTGATGCTGTGTCAAAATTTCAGTCCGATCCGTGCTGTATGCACGCTGGTCGGATTGTTGCCTTGCCGTACCGAGCCGCGCTGACTGCCTGTGCTCCATCAGACCAATTCTGCAGAGGAAGCGTCAGAGGAAGCGACAGCTGCAGACAGAAAATAGCATCTACACGTCAGTATCAAGGCACAGAGGAATGAATATACGCATATATAAGTACACAATCTTGATTTGAAGCTTTCATGACTGCAGGAATCCATACTCTATGGTTCTTTCGGTAAAGTCACGTAGGTAGAATTAACATAAATGACGTTTCGAACGCAACACAAGCGTTCGTCTTCGGGTGAAAATTGCGATAGCTGAGATGTCTGCTGTGATTTATTTTAATAAACGCTTTCATTTAACTCACTGTCTGTTGTTGTTGTCATTGTTGTCGTTGTATCCTCAAATCTTGTAACTCAATTTTAACCCACTTCCCAATGTGATATCGACTGCAAACTTGGTATACTTACGCCATACTGATGATAATACTATATTCTATCATTAAATAAAAAAAATTTAAACAATCTTTTTTACATGTTATGTTTCGGCTTGGGTCTAATTGTCCACGGTAAACTGACGTTGGGTGTAATTGACCACGGTCGCTTGTGTTACGGCAAGCCTCAGGGCCACTTCCTGGAGTCGTGGAGTTCTTCCATTACAAGTACATTTCATAAAAGCGTGTTCTTAAAAGTTTTTTAAAATTTTACTTATTTTATTTCTACCTACGTGACTTTACCGAAAGAACCAAAGAGTATATATAAATACAGTCACACATGACTAACACGTCTATACGTATTAATATAGAGTTAAAAGTTTCCCAAATTCATCACACGGGCTGTTATGGCGCACTATGAGAGGGCAAATGGTCATAAACATTCCTGGAAGCCCTCGTATCTTCAAAATGAATGTTAACCCAAAACTCCAAGCACACAATTTTGGCTGTCTGGCTACAAAATGAATATTCATAAGAGCTAAATTCAGCTGACATAGCAAAGGGTGTTGAAAATAATACTACTTATGTTATGCATAAATTCATGTTCAATCGCAACTTAGAGGTGTGAAGCCAGGCTCAGGTTTCTTTGAATGCTGGGATGAACAGATCTAACGTCAGCTGTATGTGTGCTGTGTCAACTTCCTGACTGCTTCCATTCTCATAAAGAGTTCCAGATAAAAACAAAAAAACATAAACCATGCTTTTGATATAACCTCCGTGTTCAATAGAATTAATAGACTTTACTGCAAACACAAACTTGACACTGCTACACACTGCCGTGTTAAACAGGTGGTGGCGTGTCCAGAACCATGCCTGGCCCCACACCTTCATCTGCTCAGTATTAATGTTTCAGTTTCATTTATTAGGTACTAGCTTTACTACCTGGCTTCGTCCGAGACTTGGATTCTTGTCTTGAATGAATCCACGGCCAACGCGGAGGGTGGGAGATGTGTGACGTCAGCATGCACACTGCGTGAGACTGCCGCATGCGGGTGACATCACAGACGTGAGGTCACCGCTCACTTGCCATGCAAAATATATCCATTATTGCGCACACTCCCCAAAAAATGCAAAAGTAATTTTTTATACTTTTTGCATTGTGTACAGTCTGGAAGGTACCCACATGCCAAATTTCAAGTTTGTTGCATGTCAGAAAGTATGCTAAACATTTCGAACAGACACACATTCACAAATTTCCCTTGCCATAGGACAATTCAGATTAAAGTTGTCAGGCTAACTCTGTACTACAACAAGCAAACATGGCTAAACCAAAAGTTATCAATGCTTCCTCACTCCATCAAGTAATTGAGGATTAAATCAACATAACAGAGTTTGCGTGTCTCCCTCTCTCTCAGTGGTGGCGTGTATTTTCCTCCGGATGCCCCTCCACATTTAAGAGTGAACATCAGCACGCGTTTAGAGCCTTTGACCGATAGACATTTCCACACGTTGACAAAGCCCACCTTTAAATTTTGATTTAAAGCTTTCGTGACTGCAGGGATTCATATTCTTGGTTCTTTCGGTAAAGTCACATAAAAGGGAAATAACAAAATAATATAAATATAAAACAACAAATGCACTCACGAAAGCTTCAAATCATAAGAGCGGTAACAGCAGCACAAGTGGGCTCGGCCTGGTTACATAAAATAGAAACTTAAGTTGTCCTCGTGTTGTATTTCCTGCAGTCACGAAAGCTCCAAATCTCTCATTGCCATGCTCATTTCTCTCCCCGTATCTCTCTGCCCCCCTCTCTATTTAAGCCCTTAACACAGAGGTGTTGTTTCTGTGTGTGCCCTATGTGTGTGCCTACGTGTCTGTGTTATCTCTCCCTGTGTGCCTATGTGTCTCTCTCTGTGTGCCTGTGTCATCTCTCTCTGTGTCTCTCTGTGTGTCTGTCTCTCTGTGTGCCTATGTGTGTGTCTATCTCCATGTCTATATGTGTCTCTTTCTCTGTGTCTCTCTGTGTGCCTATGTGTCTCTCTGTCTCTGTGCTATCTCTCTCTGCTTGTGTGTATGTGTCTCCATGTCCGTGTTTAGTTCTCTCTCTAAAATTTAGCAATCTTTGGAAGAACGTTAATAAACCAGGTGGGGTGTTGACTGTTATGTGAGCCGACTCGCTGTGTTGTGTTGTATTGCATTGTAATTCTAAGTTTATTTTATTTTATACCTATGTAACTTTACCGAAAGAACCAAAGACTATTGTTCTAAGTTTACAATCTTTGCTTTCTCATTAATTTGTACCTGATGGTGATTGCTCGTGTTGCAAAGGAAACGTCGTATGCTATTATTTAATTAATGTGTTCTTTCTACGTGACTTTACCGAAAGAACCAAAGAGTATGGATCCCTGCACTCACGAAAGCTCCAGATCAAGTTTAACCGAGATAATTATTTGTTCTTTTCGGTAAGGTCACGTAGTTAAAAAAATTAATGAAACGAATAAATTATTAAATATTTTTTAGTATTAAAAAGTTTTAATTAAAAAAATTGTATTAAAAATTAAATATGAAAAAAAGAAACTAAATACATTGTTTTTTCATTCATGAAAAAAAGTTTGGATAAAAAAAATATGATATAACTAAAATAAATGAAAAAAAAAACCACCACATTAAATCGGTTGTTTCTTCATTTATTGTATTTCTGCTGCCGTTACGAAAGCTTCCAGATCAAGTTGAAGCGAGAGAATTCAAACAAAGGCCTTCAGGCGAGGGCAGGAGGCGAGGCCCCGCGTGGCTAGGCCCCGCGTTGTAATGTCCCAACATGGACATGGATTCCCATACTCGCTGCGACTCAATTGACATCCCTACGAGAAAGAGAGAGGCTCTACCTTGGTAAACAACAACAACAACCACCACCACAACAACCACCACGATGAAAATCTCTCACCTCAGATTTCAACGGCAGCCTCTCGTTACCTCGCTACGTTATGGCGGCAGCAGGATGTGACGTGATATTCACTTCCGAGGTACAAGACACGCCCCCAACGAGCGGGGCTGGGTAACTGAATAACTTATTCGAGAATTGAAGCTTTCGTCAACTGCAGGAATGACTCAACTCGTTGTACACTCATTGGCTCTTTCGGTAAAGTCACGCGTCGAGGGATGATGGGGCGTGGGTGCTGAACCCGTCGCAATAAAAAACAAACTCGCGACGGGTTTTAACGAATATATTATGTAAATTGTATTTCATTTCTTTACCGAAATAACCAATGAGCAATTCCTGCAGTCACCAACGCTTAGTTCGTAGATTATGTTAATGAGCCGCCTGTCACTGGGCGTAGCTTTGCCCAAATAAGGACTATACCGGAACAGAGATCGGCGGTGACCAAGCAGGGGTGACATAACGTCACTAGCGAGGCGCACCGCCCCCCCGGCGTTTCACACCGATGAGGTAATGCTTAGTGGTGACGTCAGAGAGCGGGGGTCAGAGTTCAAGTTTTGCGTATCGGGACCGTCCACAAATGACGTCACGTGATTTTGGCCGTTTTTTGACCCCCCTCCCCCCCCTCGTCACAAAGTCAGACACCCTCAAATATGACGTCACAAAGCTCTGCCCCCCCCAAATATATAAAACACGCTTCAAATCGCTTTAAACTATTGTCATTGTAGTGCGTATTTAATGTGGCGCTGCACTCTGATGTTGTAGGAGAAAAAAATTATTAGAAAGGAGACCAGGGGAGCAGAGGTTTGAGAAATGTGACGTCACATCAAAATGCTCAACTTTAAATACATATAGAGTATAGACAAAACGTTTTACTTAAGTCTAGATTTGAAGCTTTCGTGACTGCAAGGATTCATACTCTGTTTTTTTCGGGAAAGTCACGTTCGTTCTACTTAATTAAATATTTTTTTATAAATGTGTATATATTTGTAAACATTCTTTTTCATATGTTATGTTTCGGCTTGGGTCTAATTGTCCACGATGGGCAAACGCACAAAATCAGCAGGGGATCAAATACTTTTTTCCCTCACTGTACTTATGCCAAACTGATGACAATACTATATTCTATCATTAAATAACATGTTTTAAACAATCTTTTTTACATGTTATGTTTCGGCTTGGGTCTAATTGTTCCCACGGTCAACTGACGTTGGATGTAATTGTCCACCGTCCCTTACGTTATGGCAAACTTCAGGGCCACTTCCTAGAGTCGTGGAGTTCTTCCATTACTAGTACATTTAATAAAAGCGTGTTTTTAAAAAAAGTTTTTTACAGGTTACATACTTATAGTCAAAATCTCCAAATTTGCGGAGCTTCGCTGCAAGTACAGGGCGAGACGAGGGGTGAGGCAGCGACGCGCTCAGCCTCCCCTCTGATTGCGCAACCCCTCAGACACTAGATGGAACGCGGGCACTAAGGGCTTGCCTGTTGCCATCTCAGCATGTCACCAATGGAATGTTTGTAGACCCCTTCATTACATGTCCTCGCCTTCCATAGTCCGGGTAACTTAGTTCAAGTACAGTAGAACCTCTGGTCACGACCATAATTCGTTCCATAACTTTGGTCGCAACCCGATTTAGTCGTGATTCGAACCTAATTTCCCCATTGGATTGTATGTAAATACGATTAATCCTACGAACTGTCTATAGTTTTTTAAAGATTTTTAAGCACAATAATGGTTAATTATGCCATAGAATTTAGTGTAATAGTAAACTAAATGTAAAAACATTGCATAACACTGAGAAATCCTTGAACAGAGAAAACTAACATTTCCGCGTCAAGGTTTAGAATCGTTCAACAAGATTACTGTTTCGTCTGCTACATCAGTCAGTCGATTCTGAGAAAGAGAATATTCGTATGAGCAATTCATGTTTCTATTGAAAGTTAACAGTAATATTTGGGTACAGTAATGTTTTTGGAAGCATTCACCGTAATATCGTATGAACGTTAACTTCACCGCATCATCGTATGAATGATGCGAGAAGAGATTAACAGGTTCTTATGTTAGCGATTTACGTACTCGGCGCTTTCGCTCTAAATTATGGCTTGAATGAGGGGAGAGGGGTATGACGACACTCACACAATTTATATCTTACTAGCAATTTTATATAGCAAAAGTTATATACATAACTGTTACGCTTTGTGTAATTCAACAAAAATGGCGCAGAAGGGGGAAATCGGCCGCGGCCGTGTTTGATCGCCACCCGAGTATGTGTTCGTGACCAGATTAAAAAATGTCAATGTTTTGGATGGAACCCAATTTGGTCGTGGTCAGAAGCGTTCGTGACCAGAGGTTCTACTGTATGTGTATAAAGATACGTAGGCTCGCTGGTCTCGTCATGAAACTGCAATGAAAAAGCACCAGGGTAGGCAGCTATCACATCTGCCTGAGGGGGGGGGGGGCGTCAGACACACCCCCCCTTCGGTGAGGCCACGCCCCCGGTGCCTCCAACAGCCATAGACCTCACCCCATGTCACTGGCTCCCATCTATCGCGTTCAGTGTTAATTACCGAGGCTCACAAAGCCAGACTCAGGCTCCCATAGGCTTCAGTGTTAATCACTGAGGCTCACAGAGCCAGACTAAGGCTCCCATAGGTTCCAGTGTTAATCACTGAGGCTCAGAGCCAGACGAAGGCTCCAATAGGCTTCAGTGTGAATCACTGAGGCTCACAGATCCAGACTAAGGCTCCCATAGGCTTCAGTGTGAATCACTGAGGCTCACAGAGTCAGACGAATGCTCCAATACGGTTCAGTGTGAATCACTGAGGCTCCTGGTGAGATATCTACCCAACCAACAGATCCACCAAGACTGGCCACTCTTACCCTGCAGGTTGAACCTAAGATTTCAATGTTCAACTGTGACAAAGGTGCATCTATTGGGAGCGACATCGTCTCAAGCTTACACATCTAACGAATCTCCATTTGACTTTGTATTATCTAGGAAGTCCACCCACACCTCCACTTCCACATACTGCTGCAAGTTGCCTCGCTCTGCTTCACAGTCAGAATTCCCCTCCTGCTTCACGTTGCCTCCATCGATGTGAAGGTCCCATTTTGGAGTAGAGTCTTCATCTTCACATTTTACCTTCACTTCTTCGCTCTTCACCGTCACCTCTTCACATTTCACAATCACGTCTTCAAATTCCGCCTTGATACCTTTAAAAGTGCCCAAGCTGGGATTTTCTTCCGGTACTTGTTTCATGAGGGATGGGCTACTTACGGCACTTTGACTTTCACAAGCTCTTTTCAAACTCCACTCCTTGTGGATTTTCTGATGCATTTGTGTTCTCTGGTGTTCTTGAAGACCTTGTGACCGTGCAAACGCCTTCCCGCACAGAATGCACTTGAAGGGTTTCTCTCCTGTGTGTGTTCTCTGGTGCATTTGACAATGTGATCGACCTGCAAACGCCATTCCACACACACTGCACTTGAAGGGTTTCACTCCTGTGTGTGTTCTCTGGTGTTTTCTAAGAGCAGATGAATGTGTAAATGCCTTCCCACACACACTGCACTTGAAGGGTTTCACTCCTGTGTGTGTTCTCTGGTGTATTGTAAGATCAGATGAATGTGAAAATGCCTTCCCACACACACTGCACTTGAAGGGTTTCTCTCCTGTGTGTGTTCTCTGGTGTATTGCAAGATCAGATGAATGTAATAATGCCTTCCCACACACACTGCACTTGAAGGGTTTCTCTCCTGTGTGTGTTCTCTGGTGTTTTGCAAGACCAGATGGCTGTGAAAATGCCTTCCCACACACACTGCACTTGAAGGGTTTCTCTCCTGTGTGTTTTCTCTGGTGTTGTGCAAGATTTCCTGACTGTGAAAATGCCTTCCCACACACACTGCACTTGAAGGGTTTCTTTCCCGTGTGTTTTCTCTGGTGTCTTTGAAGATTTGATGAATCTGCAAATGCCATCTCACACAGAGTGCACTTGAAGGGTTTCTCTCCCGTGTGTGTTCTCTCGTGTCTTTGAAGAGTTGATAAACCTGCAAACGCCATCTCACACAGAGTGCACTTGAAGGGTTTCTCTCCCGTGTGTTTTTTCTGGTGCTGTGTCAAACTTCCAGTCCGATCCGTGCTGTATGCACGCTGGTCCCATTGTTGCCTTGCCGTACCGAGCCGCGCTGACTGCCTGTGCTCCATCAGACCAATTCTGCAGAGGAAGCTTCAGAGCAAGCGACAGCTGCAGACATAAAAGACCATCTTCACGTCAGTATCGAAGCACAGAGGAATGAATATACGCATATATATGTACACAATCTTGATTTGAAGCTTTCATGACTGCAGGAATCCATACTCTATGTGGTTCTTTCGGTAAAGTCACGTAGGTAAAAATAACATAAATGACGATGTTTCGAATGCAACACAAGCGTTCGTCTTCGGGTGAAATCGAGATAGCTGAGATGTCTGCTGTGATTTATTTTAATACACGCTTTCATTTAACTCACTCTGTCTGTTGTTATTGTTGTCGTTGTTGTATCAAATCTTGTAACTCCATTTTAACCCACTTCCCAATGTGGTATCGACAGCAAACTTGGTATACTTATGTTGTACTGATGACAACACTATATTCTATCATTAAATAAAAAAACGATCTTTTTTACATGTTATGTTTCGGCTTGGTTTTAATTGTCCACGGTAAACTGACGTTGGCTATAATTGACCCTGGTCGCTTGTGTTACGGCAAGCCTCGGGGCCACTTCCTGGAGTCGTGGAGGTCTTCCATTACTAGTACATTTCATAAAAGCGTGTTTTTAAAAGTTTTTTAAAATATAACTTATTTTATTTCTATCTACGTGACTTTACCAAAAGAACCAAAGAGTATATATAAACAGTCACACATGACTAACACGTCTATACGTATTCATATATTCATGATAAAGTTAAAAAGTTTTCCAAATTCATCACACGGGCTGTTATGGCGCACAATGAGAGGGCAAATGGTCATAAACATTCCTGGAAGCCCTCGTATCTTCAAAATGAATGTTAACCCAAAACTCCTAGCACACAATTTCGGCTGTCTGGCTACAAAATGAATATTCATGAGAGCTAAATTCAGCTGACATAGCAAAGGGTGTTGAAAATACTACTACTTGTGTTATGCATAAATTCATGTTCAATCGTAACTTAGAGGTGTGAAGCCAGGCTCAGATTTCCTTGAATGCTGGGATGAACAGATATAACGTCAGCTGTATGTGCTGTGTCAACTTCCTGACTGCTTCCATTCTCATAAAGAGTTCCAGATAAAAACAAAAAACGTAAACCATTGTTTTCATATAACCTCAATTTTCAATAGAATTAATAGATTTTACTGCAAACACAAACTTGACACTGCCACACACTGCCGCGTTAAACAGGTGGTGGCGTGTCCAGAACCATGCCTGGCCCCACACCTTCATCTGCTCAGTATTAATGTTTCAGTTTCATTGATTTATTTCAGTTTCATTTATCAGGTACGAGCTTTACTACCTGGCTTCGCCCGAGACTTGGACTCTTGTCTTGAATGAATCCACGGCCTATGCGGAGGATGGGGGGTGGGGGATGCGTAACGTCAGGATGCACACAACATGACGCTGCCGCATGCGGGTGACATCACAGACGTGAGGTCACCGCTCACTTGCCGTGCAAAATATATCCATTATTGTGCCCCCCTCCCAGAAAAATGTAAAAGTCAATTTTTATACTTTTTGCATTGTGTACAGTCTGGAAGGTACCCACATGCCAAATTTCAAGTTTGTTGCATGTCGGAAAGTATGCTAAACCTTTCGAACAGATACACGTTCACAAATTTCCCTTTTATATATAGATAACCCCGTGAGCCATGTGGCTCTTGACTCGGGGGCAAACGCAACTAACAAAAACGTGAACAAGAAACATCTTAAAGTGACTACACGCAACGGAAAATTCCAGGAAAAAACAGCAAAAAAACACCGCATTTCAACGCTTTATGCAGAAAATCCCAGTGGGATGCAAGTCAACAAAAACAACCATAGGACAATTTAGATTAAAGTTATCAGGCTAACTGTGTACTATGAAAAAACAAACATGGCAAAACAAAAACGTTTTCAATGCTTCCTCACTCCACCAAATAATTCAGGATGAAATCAACATGGCTGAGTTTGCGTGTCTCCCTCTCTCTCTGTGGTGGCGTGGATTTTCCTCCAGATCCCCCTCCACATTTAAAAGTGAATATCAGCACGCGTTTAGAGCCTTTGACCGATAGTCATTTCCACACGTTGACAAAGCCCACCTTTGTTGTGCGGGCAGGTCGCTTCGGAAAACAAGAGTGGACGCTTGTGTTGCGCCCAAAACGTCGTGATTTATTTAATTTTCTACCTACGTGACTCTACTGAAAGAATCAAAGAATATGGATTCCTGCACTCACGAAAGCTTCAAATCATAAGAGCGGTATAGCAGCTCAAGCGGGCTTGGCCTGGTTACATAAAATAAAAACTTAAAGTGTCCTCGTGTTGTAGTATTTCCTGCAGTCACGAAAGCTCCAAATCTCTCATTGCCATGCTAATTTCTCTACCCCCCCTCTCTCTCAGCCCCCTTTTCTCTCTATTTAAGTCCTCAACACAGGTGTTGTTTCTGTGTGTGCCTACGTGTGTGTCTCTGTGTCTGTGTTATCTCTCTCTGTGTGCCTCTGTGTCTCTCTCTGTCTCTATCTGTGTCCATGTGTGTGTCTCTCTCTCTGCGTGTCTCTCTCTCGGTGTGTCTCTTTCTGTGTGCCTATGTGTGTCGCCCTCTGTGTGCCTATGTGTGTGTGTCTATGCGTCTCTCTCTCTGTCTCTTATCTCTGTGTGCCTGTGGCTCTCTCTCTCTTTGTGTCTCTCTCTGTGTGCCTGTGTGTCTGTCTTTGTGTTATCTCTCTGTGTACCTACGTGTGTGTGCGTGTGTCTCTCTCTCTCTTTGTGTGCCTATGTGTGTCTCACTCTGTGTGCCTGTGTGTGTCTCTCTCTGTCTGTGTTATCTCTCTGCTTATGTGTGTCTCTCTCTGTGTCTCCGTGTCTGTGTTTAGTTCTCTCTCTCAAATTTAGCAATCTTTGGAAGAACTTTAATAAACCAGGTGGGGTGTTGACTGTTATGTTAGCCGACTCTCTGTGTTGTATTGCATTGTAGTTCTAAGTTTATTTAATTTTATACCTACGTAACTTTACCGAAAGAACCAAAGAGTATAGTTCAAGTTTACAAGCTTTGCTTTCTCATTCATTTGTACCTGATGGTGATTGCTTGTGTTGCAAAGGAAACGTCGTATGCTATTACTTAATTTATTTTTTCTTCCTACGTGACTTTACCGAAAGAACCAAAGAGTATGGATTCCTGCACTCACGAAAGCTTCAAATCATAAGAGCGGTACAGCAGCTCAAGTGGGCTTGGCCTGGTTACAAAAAATAAAAACCGAAAGTGTCCTCGTGTTGTAGTATTTCCTGCAGTCACGAAAGCTCCAAATCTCTCATTGCCATACTCATTTCTCTACCCCCCTCTCTCTCAGCCCCCTTCTCTCTCTATGCAAGGCCTTGTCACAGAGGTGTTGTTTCTGTGTGTGCCTACGTGTGTCTCTCTGTGTCTATGTGTGTATCTCTGTGTGTCTCTGTGTTATCTCTCTGTGTCTCTCTCTGTGTGCCTATGTGTCTCTCTCTGTGTGCCTCTGTCTCTGTGTTATCTCTCTGCTTATTGGTGTCTCTCTCTCTGTGTCTGTGTTATCTCTCTCTGCTTGTGTGTCTGTGTGTCTCCGTGTATGTGTTAAGTTCTCTCTCAAATTTTGCAATTTTTGGAAGAACGTTAATAAACTAGGTGGGGTGTTGACTGTTATATTAACCGACTCGCTGTGTTGTGTTGTATTGCATTGTCGTTCTAAGTTTATTTTATACCTACGTAACTTTACCGAAAGAACCAAAGAATATAGTTCTAAGTTTACAAGCTTTTCTTTCTCATTCATTTGTACCTGATGGTGATTGCTCGTGTTGCAAAGGAAACGTCGTATGCTATTACTTAATTAATGTTTTCTTTCTACGTGACTTTACCGCAAGAACCAAAGAGTATGAATCCCTGCACTCACGAAAGCTCCAGATCAAGATAATTATTTTAGTTTTTTTCCGGCAAAGTCACGTCGGTAAAAAATGAAATGCGACTAAAATAAAAGAAAAAATGTATTATTTTTTTATTAAAAATATTTTTAATAAAAAAATATTTGATTTAATAAAAAAATTATATTATGAATAAGCAACTAAAATAAATGAAACAAAATACATTGTTGTTTTTTCATTGTTTATGAAAAAAAATGTGTATTAAAAAAATATTACGAAAAAACAACTAAAATAAATGAAACAAAATACATTCAATTGGTTGTTTCTTCATTTATTTTATTGCTGCTGCCTTCACGAAACCTTCCAGATCAAGTTGAAGCGAGATAATTTAAACAAAGGCCTTCAGGCGAGGGCAGGAGGCAAGGCCCCGCGTGGCTAGGCCCCACGTTGTAATGTCCCAACCTTGACATGGATTCCCATTCTCGCTGCGACTCAATTGACATCCCTACGAGAGAGAGGCTCTACCTTGGTAAACAACAACAACCACCACGATGAAAATCTCTCACCTCGGATTTCAACGGCAGCTTCTAGTTACCTCGCTACGTTATGGCGGCAGCAGGATGTGACGTAAATTCACTTCCGGGGTACAAGACACGCCCCCAACGAGCGGTGCTGGGTAACTGAATAACTTATTCGAGAATTGAATCTTTCGTCAACTGCAGGAATGACTCAACTCGTTGTACACTCATTGGCTCTTTCGGTAAAGTCACGCGTCGAGGGATGATGGGGCGTGGGTGCTGAACCCGTCGCAATAAAAAACAAACTCGCGACGGCTTTTAACGAATATATTATGTTAATTTTATTTAATTTCTTAACCGAAATAACCAATGAGCAATTCCTGCAGTCACCAAAGCTTAGATCGTAGATTATGTTAATGAGCCGCCAGTCACTGGGCGTAGCTTTGCCCAAATAAGGACTATACCGGAACAGATATTGGCGGTGACCAAGCAGGGGTGACATGACGTCACTAGCGAGGCGCACCGCACCCCCGTGGCGTTTCACGCCGATGAGGTAATGCTTAGTGGTGACGTCAGAGAACGGGGTCAGAGTTCAAGTTTTGCGTACAGGGGCTGTCCATAAATGACGTCACGCGATTTTGGACGATTTTTGACCCCCCTCTCCCCCTCCCCCCCTCGTCACAAAAAGTCAGACCCCCCTCAAATATGACGTCACAAAGCTCTACCCCCCCCCCCCAAAAAAAAAGAACACGCTTCAAATCGCTTTAAACTATTGTCATTGTAGTGCGTATTTAATGTGGCGCTGCACTCTGATGTTGTAGGAGAGAACATTTATTTAAAAGGCGTTGGAAAGACGTCACGCACCTATGGGGGGGGGCGGAGGGTTTCAGACCTTTGTGACGATGTGTGACGGGGGGGGGTGGGGTGAGAAATGTGACGTCACATCAAAAAACTACAACCACACAAACATGGCCAAACCAAAAAACGTATCGAAAATCACCAAAATAAAGCCATGAAAGCAATGAAACAGCGGTCATAGGAACTGTGACCGAATTTTCACAATAAACGACGTCAACAACATGTACCACCAAAACCCTGCAGCCATAGCTGGCTGCATGAGTCACTCCACAGCATCAGCAGCTTTGACGGTTCCACCTGAAGATGGAGGCTTGTGTTGCCTCCGAATCGTCGTGATTTTTATTTTATTAATTTCTTGTACCCACGTGATTTTACCGAAAAAAGCCTAAGAATAAGAACGGCATCTCACAGGTCATGGGGCCGATGGTCAGTGGGCACCTCAGCTCCGCGGAAGGTTCTTGGCGTCGAGGACATGGGCCAACTTCTAGATGTGAAGCTTTCGTGACTGCAGGGATTCATCTTCTTGGTTCTTTCGGTAAAGTCATCACGTAGAAGGGAAATAATAAAGTAATATAAATAAAACATAATAAAATAATATAATAATATAATAACTATGATAAAATATTTTATTATGTTTTAAATAAAAATAATATAATAATATAATAAATCTAATAACATTTTATTATGCTTTATTTTTATTATTTCCCTTCTACGTGACTTTACCGAAAGAACCAAGAAGAATAAGAGCGGTGTGGTGGTTTTAACCCGAAGCGGTGAGAAGTCAGCCACGAGCCATGGCCCCACAGGGAGGACTTTGCTGGTGGGTGCGGTGATGGCGATCACTCGATAGGAGGTTCAAGGGGGAGAGGAGAAGGGGGGCATCAGCCGTCACAGTCTCTCTGTCCGCCTCTGTGTGTCTCTCAGAGGTCGCAACCGGGTACCCGATACCCGTACCCTACCCGATACCCGGCTACCCGTACCCGGCCGGGTACGAGTACCCGTTTGCGATCCTGGTGCAGCCGGGTACGGGTAGGCCGTGAGTCACCGGTGAGTAACCGTTTGTCACTCAATTCAGGTAGGGTACGGGTACGGATATCCGTTTGCGATCCTGGTGTAGCCGGGTACGGGTACGGGTAGGCCGTGAGTCACCGGTGAGTAACCGTTCGTCACTCATTTCCCAACGTCTTGTCTCTTCTCACAATTCAAGTTCCTAGAATCAACCCACCCGCGCCTGCAACATGGCTTCATCCCAGAGCTCGCAATCGGGTACCCGATACCCGTACCCTACCCGTACCCAGTCGGGCATGGGTAGGGTATGGGTACGGCCGGGTACGTATGGGTACGGGTACCCGTTTGCGACCCTGGTGCGGCCGGGTACGGGTAGGCCGTGAGTCACTGGTGAGTCACCGTTTGTCACTCATTTCCCAACGTCTTGTCTCTTCTCACAATTCAAGTTCCTAGAATCAACCCACCCGCGCCTGCAACATGGCTTCATCCCAGAGGTCGCAATCGGGTACCCGATACCCGTACCCTACCTGTACCCAGTCGGGTACGGGTAGGGTACGGGTACGGCCGGGTACGTACGGGTACGGGTACCCGTTTGCGACCCTGGTGCGGCCGGGTACGGGTACGGGTAGACCGTGAGTCACTGGTGAGTCACCGTTTGTCACTCATTTCCCAATGTCTTGTGTCTCTTCTCACAATTCAAGTTCCTAGAATCAACCCACCCGCGCCTGCAACATGGCTTCATCCCAGAGGTCGCAATCAGGTACCCGATACCGGTACCCTACCCGTACCCAGCCGGGTACGGTACGGGTACCCGATTGCGACCCTGGTGCGGCCGGGTACGGGTACGGGTAAGGAATCAAAACCCGTTTGCGACCTCTGGTGTCTCTTCTCTCGTCTGTATCTGTCTCTGTGTGTTTCTCTGATCTGTGTCTGTCCGCCGCTGTTATCAATATGTGTGTGTGTCTCTCTTATCAGCGTCGATCCAACCGTGTTCAGCAGCTGTCAAGTAGCACCACGCGCCCTTTCAACTCCCACACGACTACCTGGGACTCAGACTTGCCTTTAAACACACAAAGACAAAGATCCCCTGTATAGTCTGAACAGACTGTTGGGGCAAGTGCTGTTAGCGAGCACCTCGCACACAGAGTGAGACCAGACCGTCGCTTGATTTTAGAGGCTTTATTTCGTGAGATGGGTGCACCACCACCATCATCATGACCACCACCATCACCACCATCATCATCACCACCACCATCACCACCATCATCTTCATCATCACTACCATCATCACCACCATCACCATCATCATCACCACCATCACCCTCACCAATAACCTCCATCAATATCACCACCATAAACATCACCATCGACATCACCAACAATAACCTCCATCAACATCACCCTCACCACCATCACCACCAATAACCTCCATCAACACCATCAACATCATCGAAATCACCACCATCAGCATCACCACTAATAACATCCATCACCACCATCACCCTCACCACCACCACCACCACCAATAACCTCCATAAACATCATCACCACGACCATCACTATCACCAAAAACCTCCATCAACATCACCATCGACATCACCACCTGCAACATCATCAACACTATCACCACCATCAGCACCATCAACACCAATAACATCCATCTCCATCAACACCATCACCAGCATCAGTATCACCATCGGTGATCAGCCATCAGTGGTCGATGGCTCTCAGCTCGGAGTCATTGATCAGCGATCAGCGGTCGATGGCTCTCAGCTCAAAGTCATTGATCAGCGGTCAGCGGTCGATGTCTCTCTGTAGTCGATGATCAGCGATCAGCAGTCGGTGTCTCTCTGTAGTCGATGATCAGTGATCAGCAGTCGATGTCTCTCTGTAGTCGATGATCAGCGATCAGCGGTCGATGTCTCTCTGGAGTCGATTATCAGCGATCAGTGGTCGATGTCTCTCTGGAGTCGATGATCAGTGATCAGCAGTCGATGTCTCTCTGTAGTCGATTATCAGCGATCAGTGGTCGATGTCTCTCTGTAGTCGATGATCAGTGATCAGTGGTCGATGTCTCTCTGGAGTCGATGATCAGTGATCAGTGGTCGATGTCTCTCTGGAGTCGATTATCAGCGATCAGCGGTCGATGTCTCTCTGTAGTCGATGATCAGCGGTCGATGTCTCTCTGGAGTCGATGATCAGCGATCAGCGGTCGATGTCTCTCCGGAGTCGATGATCAGTGATCAGCGGTCGATGTCTCTCTGGAGTCGATGATCAGCGATCAGCGGTCGATGTCTCTCTGGAGTCGATGATCAGCGATCAGCGGTCGATGTCTCTCTGGAGTCGATGATCAGTGATCAGCGGTCGATGTCTCTCTGGAGTCGATGATCAGCAATCAGCGGTCGATGTCTCTCTGGAGTCGATGATCAACGATCAGCGGTCGATGTCTCTCTGGAGTCGATGATCAGCGATCAGCGGTCGATGTCTCTCTGGAGTCGATTATCAGCGATCAGCGGTCGATGTCTCTCTGGAGTCGATGATCAGCGATCAGTGGTCGATGTCTCTCTGGAGTCGATGATCAGCGATCAGCGGTCGATGTCTCTCTGGAGTCGATGATCAGTGATCAGCGGTCGATGTCTCTCTGGAGTCGATGATCAGTGATCAGCGGTCGATGTCTCTCTGGAG